TGTAAAAAAAAAAGCCAAAGGTGTCTTTAACAGTGATTGAAAAGGAAGCCCTTATGCTATTACATGAATATGACTTCGCCAACTCTTACTCAAGGAACCTACAACGGAAAACTTCAGCCACGAGAACTCATTTGGATTTCTATACTTTATTAAGGTGTATAAAAGGAAATTATGAGCTATCATCGAAGGCAGGTACCGGACTCTTCGAGTCGCTGGAAACATCATGTTGCTCCTCCTTCAATTGGGATGCCTCTGGCTTCAGACCTTTTGTCATTGAGTTGAACTGTTCCGCAATCCTGCGATTTCTTATTAAAGACAAATAACAACGGCTACAAATCTCAGAGCACCTTCACCTACCATTCATAGTCGAGTAATAATAGCAGCATCCCAGCACCTACAACGAAAAAGTTGAATTTGAATAATTTCCGCAGAGGCGGCCAGATATAAGGGCGGTGCTCATAGACTGTTGTTGAAAAGTCCGAATATCCGGTGCCACTCTTTCTAAATGAACGAATGTGAATATGAAACACCTGATGACTGTTGTTGTTCTACATATAGTACCTAGACAGTTCACCCATTTTTGCAAAAAATGGGAAAACAGAAAAAGGTACGGGACGAAAAAAGTTTTCGCAGTTTTTGATTGTTAAAACAGTGCCCCGGTAACGTACCCTCTATTTCGGAAGACGAGAAGAGTGTCGAGTGCAGACCACACCACAAAAGACGACGGCCAAGAAAAAAAGCCACTTTTTTCTTGGCCGTCGTCACTTTTGGTGTGTGGTCTGCACTCGATGCTCTTCTCGTCTTCCGAAATAGAGGGTAGCCTCTTGTCCAGTAGCTAAAGGTGCGGGTTCGGGTCCCACCTGGCAAGTTTTATTTATAACACCACTCTTGTGCGACTTTCGTAATACGAACTGCGGCCAAAACAGCGGTTAACAATCAAAATGAGGTGCGGGTTAGTACCACCTGTAGCGGAAGTGTTGTTCTTAACCCAGCATTCTTGCGAAAGATTCACTGTGTTCAATAGAAAGCATGTATGGTTGCAATAATCAGTAACGAGCGTGTAAGCCATTGAATTACTCAATAATAGGGTAAAGCCTCCACTACCAGCTGTTCTACACTTTCATAAGACTTTTTAGTACAGCAAAGAAACGAACCTATCGGTATAATGAAATACACTTCGTCTAGGATTGCCGAACATCGTGTAAGCCTTCACAGGATCTAATTCAACTTCTTCTGGTTTACTGTTCGTAACCTGTTGATCCCCGGGTCGGGAGAGCGAAGATAACCAAGCACGTTGAGATCGAACGAATAGAAACCTGCACCGCAACATAGCAACCACTTCTGACCTAAATGGTAGGCCCTTAAAGTTGATTCTTATTCGATTCAAAGTACTCCTGTTTCTAATAAACCACAACTACAGCTCCATAACTAAAGAATTAGTCAATCAAAAGAAAAGTGGGAAAACTTCAGATTTTTCGACGATTTTGGGAACTGTCGTTTCTTAAATACGCAATTGCGCCTTGGTTGTGTAACTTAACGCATGCAAAGTCCGATTTGGA